TAAACCACAACAATGCTTTAAACTGCAAAAAGAAGTTAGTGCTATCTAGTAAAATGTTCAAAATTCTGTTACATTTTTCCTCCTCTGACATATTATTTTCAGTGTCTGTTTGGGATATTGTGTTGAAAAGTAAGTCAAAAGGAAAAATTAACTTTCTGATGAAACTTGCAAAATGCAGTTTTAGATATCTCTTAAAAATCAACCTAAGTTTTCACAGTTGCATGAATTCTACAGTAGCTTATTAGAAAGCTCCTGTTTTTTATACAGCCATAGAATCAAGCTTATGGGAATAGCACTACTCATAGTTCAGAGAACTGTCTAAAGCTTTACATTTCAGTTCTCAGTACTGCTGCTACTTTATTGTGGATACTCTGGGAAAGTATTTAAGGGTCAGAGCAGAACAGTAAAAATATTGATTTTTTTTTTTTTTCTGCTGTCATAAATTCATCATTATTGTATCTGTTGAGATATTGAATATAATCCCTGGGCAAAATGAGTGTATGAAATGGGTGGATGAAGGAAGTATTCCGTAATTGGTAAGGGGAAGAGGGCAGATGCAAAGGCATAATTAAATGTAATAGTATACATACAAGTGTCATAAATTCATTGTTTACTTCATTTTAATACACCATATAAAATTAAATTAAGAAAATGAATTGAACTAAACCATGAAGTTCAGCTGTCATTCTGACAACTCTTCTGTTTGATGCTATAATGACAGAGTGAAAAATTGTTTAGACTTTCATTCATTCTTTCAGAGTCTAGGAAACATGAATATCATGAAGTGTTCAGAAAATTACATTTAGAAGAAGCAAACAGATAAACTAATGATCTGTATAAATTTATAATAATATTCTTCTAAATGCATTGGTCTCTAAATGTTGAAATACAGCAGATCTCCACTGAACTCCTTTTGGTGGATGGAGGTAGAGATAGAGCTTGTTTCAGTCATCCTCTTGTGTTTAAGTTAGATGCCTATATTGGAAGAGTCTCTGTTTCTGTTAATCTCCTGCCTATACAGAGACACAGGAGCATGATATCAGAAAAGAAGGAGGCTAAGAAAATTCTTGCAGCAATTTTCTGAATGGATATCAGCAGGGAAAGTGCTAAATTGTAAAGATTATATGGAAATCTGTAGGTTTATTGACCCTTCTGAATGGCACAGTTAGGAAGACACTAATCTTATTCCCTGGATGGGACCAAATGTTTGTTTTCTGTTATAATATGTTCACAGACTCATAGAGTAGTTGAGGCTTGCAGGGACCTCTGGAGGCCATCTAGTCCAACCCCCTGCTCAGGCCAGGCCACCTAGAGCCAGTTGGCCAGGACCGTGTCCGGATGGCTTTTGAGTATCTCCAAAGGTGGAGACTCCACAAGCTCTCTGGGCAACCTGTGCCAGTGCTCAGTCACCCTCACAGTTAAGAAGGTGTTTCCTGATGCTCAGAGAGAACCTCCCGCGTTTCAGTTTGTGCCCATTGCTTCTGGTCCTGTTTCTGGGCACCGCTGAGACAAGCCCAGCTCCATCGTCTTTGCACCCTCCCTCCAGGTGTTTGTAGACGTTTGTAAGATCCCCCTGAGCCTTCTCTTCTCTGGGCTAAAGAATCCGCGCTTTCTCAGCCTTTCTTCATGGGAGAGATGTTCCAGTCCCTTAATCATCCTCATTGGCCCTTTGCTGGACTCCCTCCAGTATGTCCATGTACTGGGGAGCCCAGCACTGCACCCAGCACTCCGTGTGTGGCCTCACCAGTGCTGAGCAGAGGGGAAGGATCACCTCCCTCAGCCTGCTGGAGAAATCTTTCCTAATGCAGGCCAGGATAGCCTTAGCTGCCTTTGAGGCAAGGGCACGTTGCTGGATCATGTAGATTCTTGCAGTACATCCCATGACATGTCTTGCCTTTTGTTTTGGAATATTCAGTTATCAAATCTTATTACCTTTTCCATTGAAAGGATAATGATTTTTTTTCTGCTTAGTTGTTTGTTACAGGTAGGCTAGGTGCTTCATAGATGACATTGTTGAAATATTTTTCCACCGTTACAAAAGTATATTAAGTAACAGTGCTTCTTATGCAAGTAATGTATTGTGTTGTATTTAGTCAAAGTATTCACAAAGGAAATCACTAATTAAACTATTAATAGATCGTTTATAAAAGAATGTTATGTGCTGGTTTTTTAAATAGAAAATGAATGTAGGTTGATTATTCTTGCCTGTTTGTGGAAACATGCAACATACCTTCTTGTAGAAGAAGAATCTTTCAGCATTTAACTGAACCACCACAATTAGTTCTTTATTAAGGAATCTCAAAATCCTCTTAACTTTTTTCATGCAGTTATTCTTAGATTGGGTTAGTTGGATTTGGAAGCATGGTGGTAGTTGGATGGGTATGGATTTGTGTGTTGCTTATGTTCTGTTAACTTCTGTGTACTTAAGAGAAAGTTTTCAGTGAGAAAGGAGATAAGGAAACTTGTTTCTGTTAGTTTTGTTATCTGGAATTAGACATTAATAGGATTGAAAAGGGCATTAGAAATTAGTTGTTAATGCCAGCAGCCCTGAAACAGAAGAAGTACCTTTATAATATTTGTATGTCTAATACTCTGTAGAGATTTTCAGTGAAGGATGTATAAATGATCTAGCAATGAGTTATCCCTATTAATTATTTCTGAGGACTTTTCTTACTTTGATATTTAATCCTGTTGGTACCTTTCTTCTTTATTGCATCAGTGGTGGAACGAATTTCTCTCTGTCATTGAATATAGCCTCCTGTGTGTTTGCAAGCTGTTGTCACATCCTCTTTCCACCTGCTTAATCCCAATGATTCATTCTTTCTTGTGGTCATGTCTTCTAGATCTCTAGATTTTCCTGGTCTCAGATGGGATTTTTTTATCAGCCTGTTATACTTTGCAAATTCATGTTGGTGACTGTTCATCTATAACAAGTCTATGGTGAATATAAAAATATTTGTCCGAAAAATAGGACCACATTTTAGTATTTGATAATGGTTGTGTGTAGTAGATACTATGTACACGTGTATGTATTTATATGTATGTGTGGAAGAGGATGGTGAGTTGTTTCTATAACTCTGTTTTAAAAACCCTGGCTAAAAATTATTTACAATTGAAGAAGTTTTGGTTTTAACCCTCTACTGTTGAGAATCTGTAGTGATCAAGTTTATTTCTTTCGTGTTTTGAATTCTAAGTTGGGTTTCTTCCCTGTAAAGCAGTGTTCGGTATTCCTCCACCCCAATAAACCCCAGAAAGTCTGAAGACCATTAACTAAGTAATTTTAGGTTAAACAACTCTGAGCAGTTATCTCTTAATTTAGAATTGCATGGAATTGCTCAATATGCAGAAGGCAGTGATTTTACTACAAGTGAAATTATATCAAAAGTATATCTAATAGGTCTTGTAAAAAACATTTTCAAAAGATTATTTTTAATCTGCTTTTTTTAGTGTTCTCAGCCTTTCCAGACTTCCAGAATCTTGTGAATTTCATATCTGCCATCTCCTAGCACAGCAGAAAGACAAAGAGCCTTATTTTTCACGCCAATGGGTTCGCAATATCTTGGCTCATGGCTTTGTATGCTGATACCTTTCTAGTTGCTTGTGTAAAGGTAGTTAGAAATACCTTAAGACAGTAATCAGATTAAATAAACTTTCTAATCTCTTCACGTGCTTACTTTTAAAGCTTTCAGTTTATTATGTGAAGATCAAATAGAGTAGCAAAAATGTTGACCATGTATATCTAGAAAAAAATGCTTACCTTATTCAGAGCTTTACAAAATAGTACGCGATAATACCCCAAAGAAAAAAGCAGAAGTAGAGGTGAAAATCAAGCTGCTTTGAATCATTGCAATTCTGATAAGGTTAAATCCATGAATATATTCATAATTATCAAGTTGTAATAATTACCCAGGGGCTTTTTAATATTAAGACAATGGCGAAGGGGATAATAGCGGATCTGATACTCGCTTGGATTTTGTGACTAGTCCTTTTGTTGGACCTCATACTGTCAAGAGTTGGCTGACTCCACAAGTGTTTTTTTATTGTTTAAAAACAAGAGTTTGAATTTAGGTATTAAATTAATCCTTTAGTGCTCAATTGCACGACTGAAATGGTTTTTGATTTACTTAGACATGTGGAGCCATTTCATGGAATCCCAGCTGAACATTTTGAAATTAGAACTTGCATTAAGTAGGTTAATGGCTGCAAGAATTGCTTATGTTTCAAGCCTGCTTAAGACTGCCTCTAAGGAAAGAGGTTTCCTTGAAGAGTGAGAAAATGGCTTCCAAAATACAGCTCCTGAGTAATAATTTGCTCTTTTGACATAGCACTGATAAATTCATGTATAGTACTTAAGCTTACTAGGTTCCTGAGATTCATATCATGCTACATATTTGCCTGACTGCAACACAAAACCTCAGATGTAAACAAAGTCTCGCTAAGTATCTCAAGTTTATGGTTTCCAGAGCAACCAAGCTTGGCCACACATGCATATAATGGTGCCATCTAGATGTAGTATAGTTTCTATAGTAACTGTAACTGAGGTGACTCATGTGCTGCCTTGCCAAGAGATTTCTTCAGTGCTGTATTTGTTTTTCTTATCTGTATAGATGGATTGTGTATTTTGGTGTACGACAGCTTGACATATTGTAGTCACTATAAACAATGATGAGCAAGAGATTGCTGCTGCCACAGGTTCCTTTTTCGTCCTACGGCTGTAGGCTGCACACTAAACTAGTTGTATTCTGTTTGCAAATGTCTTCTGCTAAATGAATTTCTGCATTTGCTGCTGGAAGCTTCCCTCTCAGCTGTTAACAGCTTCCATCGCTCTTCGTATATGACTCCACACAGACAAGGACACAAAAGTAATTCATATTCCATCATTAGTATAGCTTACAGAGGAGTGGAATTCAAATCTCTGTGTGAGGAGGAGCCAGACTGTGAGAATACTCAAGTGCTGTCAGGAGGGGATGTGGATGATGAGAAGGTGAATTCTGTTACAGTTGCTTGAGATATAGTACGAAATACTCTATGCAGTCAGAGATGTGCTGTCTCTGCAGTATGCATAAAGACAATGCAGGAAAAATACATAGCTGTTTATTTTGTCACAAAAAATTAAGTAGAGCTAAATAGAGGGCAATACAACAGAGTAGGTAACTGCCAATTATTTTTCTGCAGTGAAATTGAGCTTTTGAAGTCATTTACTATAATAAATGCTCTGAAGCATTTCACACTTCTCTCATTTTTGTGAACTGAAAAATAAATGTACTTAGAATCAATGACTGGTTTTACGAACTTAAGAAGCTGTTTATCGATGATGCATCAACATAAGGGTTTAAACTGATACATCTTTCTCTGTTGCTTGATCAGTGATTTGTCTGTCTTTTCCACAGACCAGACCTCTTAGTTTCAGTAATGAAATAATTAAAAAGATTGTCATTTTTGCATTGTATTTGTGAAGAATACTTTCCAACTGGGAGCATCTCAGTTGGCTAATATATGGTTAGATAAGTTTTAAAACTCCTGAAAGTGTGATGATGTTGTAGAATTCATTTAATTCATTACTTAGTTACAATCTTCATTTTTCTTTTTCAGTTCCCTGTTTCTTAAAGACAGAATATCTGCTACCTCCTATGAGTCCAGTTCCTTTCTATAAAATTCTGTGAAATTCTGTTAATGCCAGTTCATTTTTGAATATTCATTTCTCAGATGTATTAGTGAAATTCAAGCATTTATGTTGGGATAAAATAGTGAGACTCACCTTTGGGATCACAGAGTTGGGGTTTGCTCCTAGTGTAAAGGACTGTGAATCCTCCAAGTGACTGGGCTCTGTTGTGCCGCAGGCTCTTCCTTTCTCTTGTTTAAGGAGATCTCCTGTAGCTCCATTTGAACATTAATCAATCTCTGAACCTTTTGCTAGTGTAGGATAGGTTTATATTTATACCTGTAACTTATTTCATAATGATTGTGATCTTGACTAAATACTAGAGAAGAGCACGATGACTTTTCTTTCAAGGCAGCTCTGTACCATTGCCCCTCTTGCACTGCTCGTTTGCTTTCTCTGACCTCGGTCAGTTAGTTTTCTCCATTAATCATCCGTTCTTAAGGCATGCACTGTACTGAGCATAAAGGCAGAGCTTTCTCTTCTTGCCAGGTAGGGATGCCAACAAAAACATGAAACAACCAAACTTACCTGATACCTCTACTGGGGATTTATCATCAGACTTGTATTTTCAAAAGTGTGATTGTTGCTTGGGTAGTTACCATCAGCTCAGCTTTTTTTTTTTTTTTTTTTTTTTTCCTTTTAATGTTAAGACTATTTGAAATGTTTATCTTAAATTTTTAAGTCAACTAAAAAAATAATGACTTCTATTTTCTTGGCTCATTTTAGAGAAAGTTTAACATTCAGAAGTTGAAAACTTGATGTTTAGCAAAACTGAACTGAGAGAGTTTGAAAAGCAATATGTGTTACCATGACTAAAGGAAGCTGCTTATTTTCAAATAATGTAATTATCCTCTTGTAGTAGTTTTCTTAAGAATTACTGAAACTATAAATTTGTAGGGTTCAGTGTTAGTGTTGAATGAAAACCTTTGTAAATATGACTGGATAATCTCTGCAAGATAGGAAGGGGAATAAAGACTCCTTGTTAGGACAGATGTGAATTAACTCACAGAAGCTGAGAGGAGACTTCCTCTGGGCAATATCTTAATATTGTCCACTGTTGCTTCTTGCAGAGATTAAACTGAAGGCTGCACAGACCTGTCCATTGATCTTGATGCAGTCTCAAGTTTCTTCTATTCCTCTTGTACTGGATGCCATTAAAAAGTCAGCCGTGTTTTATCATGTATCATAGTTCATCTGGATTTGCAGTGGAAGTGAGCAGCCAAGGGGATACAGGCTGTACACGTTGCAAATCTCTGGCATGAAAGATCAGTGTGAATTTGAAGTGGGCCAGATTGTATTCAATGAGTTACTTTTGTTACCCTTCCCTACCATAATATGTTTATTGCTCATCACAAGATTTTCTTCCTGAGTGAAAACGTTGTATTACTTTTCACTGCAGCTTTTGTGTTTGTATGCTAGCTGCTGAGTCAGAGCTACTCCCAACTGCAGATTCAGTTTCAGTAAAACTGCCTAAGTGCTTCATCTGAAAAATGTTCATAGTAATCAAACGTATCTGCATTTTAATTTCATAAAGGCTGTAAAAAGAGGATCTTGAAGTGTATTTAGGAGGAGAAGTCGTTTATCCCTGAAGCAGCTCCACCAGCTTTAGCAAGAGTGCACCTGCAGTTCAGAGTATCTCAAGTATTTTTATAACCTTCTCTCTGAACCTTTGTACATACTCTTCCTGGATACTTACCTTCCGCGGTGAATTGTACCACTCCGATTCTGCCTTTTTGCCAGCATAGGCGATGCAGGTGACCAGTGGTGTTTGTCTGAAAACATACTGATTGTTGTCCGTTCAGATCCAAGCTGGGTGAACTCGTAGCTTAGGAAATCTTTTTCTTTTCTGTGCTTGTGGGGTGTAGGGGTTTGGGTTTTATGATGGTTGTTTACCAGTGTGATGCACTGCCACTCCCTTTTTGCCGGAACAAAACCTGTTTTGCCTCCCTAGGCTCTGCTTCGCTTGGCCAGGAGCATGTTTTGGTCGTGTTTCTGTTTTCAGTGACAGTCCTCCCAGCTCAAGAGGACCACTTGTTTTAGAACAATACCGGAATGGTTAGCCGAACTTTCAGGCCCAGCTAAATCAGTATTGAAACACGAAAGTAGATTAACAGTTGACATCTGCTTGGTTACACGCAATGCAGGCAAGGAAACTTACGCGACAGCCTTTTAGCCTGGGTGGCTTTAAAAGGTGGGGGTTGGGGGAACTCGGTGGTGGCAGGGAAATGAGACTTTATCTTCATCGCTCTAGTTTCTGCTGTTCAGTGTCAGCTGCTTCCACCTGGTGGCCATTTTGGCAAGAATCCTTTATTTAAAAATAAATGTTTAAAAACCAGAAGTGTCTTACCCCCCCCCCCCCCCCGGCAAATGTTTTCTCCATTTAGGTTGTTAAGCAGCAAAGAGAGTATATGAGTGTGACATAATGTGTGTTTAATTCTCATGAAGTAACTAAGGATTCTGTTCTCCAACAGTGGCTTATCAGATACAATAATATTGGATATAATATCCAACTACCTGGTCCTTCCAAACAGAATTACAGTTCCCCTTGTCAGTGAAGTGCAGATTGCTCAGTTGCGGTTTCCTATACCAAAGGTAAGCATGTATCTGTGAGTACTAATGATTTGGAATTTAGCTTTTTCTGTAGTAGTAACTGTTAAGGATATGCACATCTGTGTGAATTTCTAAATATAGTTATTGCAGTAGTATAGGTTATCATGAATCCAGTGGCTTAAAATGATTTAATTTATAAATCATTTCTGTGGAGGTAATGTTTCGTAATCATGGCAAGAAGGATTTTTTTGTTTTGGTAGAATCTTAAACATAATACTTGTTAGAATATAGTTCAACTGTATAGACTAAAAATTAAGTAGCACACATATTATCACTGCAAATTATTGTTAGTGCTCTTCACTTGAAAGTTGTTACTACTTATTGCTACTCACTTCCAGTAGCATGGCATTTCTTGATGTAACTGGCTTGTTTCTGATTGTTTATGTTAGTTTTTCTTTTCAGGAATCTCTTGGGTTCTGGGTCTTGTGTGTGTGGGAATCATCACTGATATCCCTCCATTCAGAGTGTGTCCAAACCAAGTTTCATGTTAAGGAAATCGCAATGGAAATTATAAAACATGTATTGCATAAATTGTGATGGCATGGAGGCTTTCAGATTACTACATAAACATCATCTTCTTTTTCAGGGTGTTCTAAGGATACACTTTATTGAAGCTCAGGACCTGGAGGCAAAAGATACTTACCTGAAAGGGATTGTCAAAGGAAAGTCAGATCCTTATGGAATCATCCGTGTGGGCAACCAGATTTTCCAAAGCAAGGTCATCAAAGAAAATCTCAACCCGAAATGGAATGAAGTTTATGAGGTATCATCAATAAAAATACTGTGTTGTGCATCCTGTAAAGTTGTCCTCTAAAGTTTCTTATGTTAAATAAGATACTCTGGGGACTTGCGTGGGGGACCTGTTGATGTCTCCTTCTAAGAGCCCAAAGTTATGTAACAAAACATAACTTCTCCATTGATGTATATACTTCTTTTGTCTAGACTAAGTATCAGTAATTATTTAAAGCAGTCTAGTCCCTTAAAGCCGGTATTAGCAAATTGCATCTGAAAGGCTCTTATACTTGCTCTACTAATCAAATTGCATCTTTTTTAAAGCCTGTGTTTATTGATATGTTTTAATACACAAAGGCACTGCAGTTCAGTGTTTCACTGTTACTTTGCCATTTAACAAAGGTAGTTAGTTTTACCATTGACAATGCCATCTTACTGTACTTCCAGGCCTTAGTATATGAACATCCAGGACAGGAGCTAGAGATTGAGCTCTTTGATGAAGATCCAGATAAAGATGACTTCTTGGGAAGGTAAGTGTTGTGGAGAATATGCTTGTAGGTGTTGAAAAGAGATTGAATATTTTGATGTAATCCTTTTTTTTCCTCTTTGCATTTTATCACAGTTGTAGGTGTGCTATGTAAGTATATTTTAAATTCATTATCTTTTCAAAATGGTCATAGTAAGTAGTTCCCTAATTACTTCAGATATGTAAATATATGTATATAAAAATGTGCTTGTGTGTGTATATGCACATCTACATGTTTATATTTTTTTTTTTAAATAAGGTAAGTATTGTAGGTACCCAGAAAAAAAAAAGGTTGGAATTTTTTTAGAAATTGTACTCTGCCTGCTTTAATAGTTTGTAAGCTAGCACTAACTTTTAATTATTTCTTCAGGCAAAGTTAATACAGCTTTATAGCTGTATATCTTCTTCATCTTCATAGTTTTTAAATGTCTAGCTCACAGTTTATTTTTCTCTAAGAGCTGATCTTAAATATTTGATTGAAGAAAAAAATTTTGCTCTAATGCTTTCACAAACATTACTCACTCTTAGATTCCATAGGCCTAGCTTTAGTGTTTACCCATAAACATTTCAGGGTTTTAGTCAGCTTCTTTCTCCAGTAATTTGTCACCTTTATTTCTTGCAGAGTTTTGGAGCTTCCCATTGTTGCTTTCCATACAGAGTAGAACTCCCTTATCTTTCCAGCTCCTTCTCTCTTAACAGGAGCAACAGTACCTACTTCTCTTCTCATTAAAATAAAGAAGTAGGTAGTACAAAGGCTTCTTTTCTTTGCACTTCCCTAATCTTACACTGAAGTGGTGGGGGGGAAAGTGGCATAATGTGTACGTCAGTACTAAGGAAATAAAAAGCCACGACAAATGTTCATGCACTGGCATGCAGTTGTCTGCCCTGTTTAATTTTTAGCAGATTCCCTGGTACATTTTCAGTTTTTGTGAAGTAGCACTCTGCCAGGTGATGCCATAGCATGAATGCGGTCATAGCATATGTCCAGGGGCTATTTGCAGTGGGTAGTTTGGATGTGGTCGCTGTTTTGAGAGTTTGGTCATATGTATGTGAGCCATGCTGTGCCAGTTGCCCTAGTAGCTGCAAAATGGGCTCTAGTATAGACATATTTTCTGTTATCCTGCATTCATCTTCGTTCAGCCATTTCATTCCCTACTTCTTTCTCTCTTAGGGGCTTAGCAATAGTATTCTGCTCTTTTGATCTCAGTGGAAACCTGGATACTCAGCAGGCACAGGGTGGGGTTTCAGTTCTGTACTGGATTTTTTTACTTCGTGGCTGAAATGCTGATGGGTGGTTTTTTCTTTTCTTTTTTCTAGTTTGATGATAGATTTAATTGAAGTTGAAAAGGAGCGTCTTCTGGATGAGGTAAGTGTTCAGTAAGTTTTGGTTTAAAAACATCTGTATGTTGTTCTTGTAGTTGTTCTTCTATTATTTTTTTTTTCCCTGGGGATAGTTCCTGTATGTGCATGAATAAACTTAATGCTATAAGAATAATATTAATGCTGTAAAAATAGATTCCCTGATGACCAGTACAGTGACTTAAGGGATACATGAATTGGTGAAATCAGAAGAATAATTCCATTCTTCTTCTGTCTTGGGGTGTTACGTATGTAAATGCAAAAACCAGTAACTTACATATTTGGTGAGAGCTTTTTCTTGCAGGAGAATAGTTGATTCCCTGGTTTAACTATTGTTAGACTTAGCAGACTGATTTCCGTCCTATATGTAAGAGAGATTTTACAGTAATGTTATGCAGAGTTTGTATTTCCAGAACATCTGTACAGAACTTAAAGAATTTTCTTGATATTTTAAAAATGCTTTTACTGTATAACACAGAGGTTTGCGTGGCTTTTTTTTTTTTGTTATTCTGTCTGGTAATTTTTAGTGTGAAATATGACATTTTGAACAATGAATCAGATCTTTTCAGGTTATGCAGACTTCATCTTTATGAGATTTCTAGTAGAGCTTAGCATTTCCTAAATGGTCCTGAAGAGCGAATTGCAATCAAGTATTTGTTTGGTGTCAGATTATTTCACATTACTTTGCTTAACTTTTAGTGGTTTACTTTGGATGAAGTGTCCAAAGGAAAATTACATTTAAAACTGGAATGGCTCACATTGATGCCAACTGCTGAAAATCTAGACAAGGTATTCAAGGAACACATTACTTTTATCCCAATCTTAATTGTTGTGGAGTGTTTTTTGTTGTGGGTGGGTTGTTGTTTTTTTTTGTTGTTGTTCAGTATGTAAGTAATTTAATTCTCTAGCTGTTGTGAATTTGGATAAACTTGTAACTTTATTCCAAGCTGTTTGTCTTTAGAATTCTCAAACCAGTCATAACTGTCAATGTATTCTTGTGGCAAGGGATTTTGAAATGCTTTTGTCGTCCTCTTCTTTTCTGTTAATGTTATGGTTTGAGAACGTCAGCTAACACTTCATTAGCCTGGGAGATAAAGCTGGGTATGATATTATAATCTGTCCAGTCTAAAAAAAAATAATTGGAAACTGGGGTGGAAATTTCCATTAAAATGGGTTTGAAATATCTATACAAGTCTTGAAAACTTACTACCTCTGCTTCATAGTGTGCATTTGTGAATGTTAGCATTTTGGGAGATGTTTTTAAAATATTTTTCAGGAATGGGACAGAAATAATGATATTGTTTGGCTTGCAGAAAGGCTTATTGTATGTTTTCGGTTTAGGTGCTAACAAGCATTAAAGCTGATAAAGACCAAGCCAACGATGGGCTTTCTTCTGCATTGCTTATTCTCTATTTGGACTCAGCAAGAAACCTGCCTGTAAGTTCTGTTCTGATGGATACCCTTTTATCAGGGGTATCTCTTGCGTACTTCCAGCATGTCTTGCTTGGTAGTCTGGCACACTGCTTTACTAACACACATTATGCCATGTTTTCTATACTTTCTCTTGTTTCAAAACGTGTAATGTAAGGTCCATGTTTCTAGTAGTATAGTATTATAGATATATATCTAGTAAAACATTACTCTTTAATCAGTGTGATTTTTCTTTAAAGAATGCTCCTTTCCTGGACTTGAAAGGCTGCATGTTTTTATTATACAGTGTTTTCCATAAATAGTATGGGATCAGCATGGGGAATTTTAAGGAACTAGCTGAGAAAAGGCCCACTTCCTTGAGTTCAGGTAAACTTGCTTGCTTTGCTTTAGGATATCTGTGGTGGATTTGAAAGTATTGAAGTCCTCATCATGAAATTTATTCTGTGCAATTGATGTTATAGTGGCAGAATACTTGTATGAGATTTCTGTCAGATTGTCCTTTGGAATATTGTTTATTTGCTTGTGCAAAACGTAAAAACAAAAAAAATAATGGTTCCATCTTTATATGGATTACACTGTGGGACTGTGAAATAGCTTGTTTATGACAAGCACAGACTGTTTAGTAGTTTATTTCAGGTTAGTAAAGTACTGTTCCTGGTTGTAAGTGATAGCAGTAATAAAGTAAACCCTACCATAAATAGATATGTGAAGCATAACACTGAGTTTTGCTGGTTTGCAGCATTGCTATTAGATGAGAAATTCTGGAAGTGATGACTAAAAGACTAATCAGAGAATGAAGGCAAGCCTTAGGGTTTTTTGGTATGTATTTTCCAAATGTGTCCACTCAAGTTAAAATGTTGCATCAGACAGAGTGGTAACAAATGAAGGGTTAGTAGTTTAAACAATTTACATCACTGACTAGTGATCTGATGTCTGTTCCAGGGTGTATAGGGCAGTGTTTGGAAGTAGTATTTATAGGTTATTTTAAAAGCTAGAAAGATGTAGCTCATTTAGAATAGAGTCCTGCATTATCTTTTTAACATCACTCTATTGAATACAGGGGGAACTCTAACTTAGCAGAAAAAGAGTAGAATTACTGTAGAACAGGGTAAGCAGAAATAGCATCGAATAGAATGATGCTGTACTCTATCAGTTTCAGAATACTGCAACACACAGAAAAATTTGTACATCTGCTATCTGTTTTGTGCACAAGATTAAACTGAACCCATTTCTGTATTTTCTTATTCAACTACTGGATTTTACGCAAACTGTTACAAGTTTAATGTATTTGTTAAAATACACTAAAGCTTCTTGTTTAAAATGAATAGTTTAATGTTCCCTCATCCACAATTTCCAATTTTTTTTCCTACAGCTCTGCTTCTCTATATTAGATTAGCTTCTCCAGCAAATACTCAGAGGCTTTGTCGTATGTTTAGTTTTTTCCCTTCCTGTTTTAAACAAACATTCTGTAACATTGTCTCCCTGCTTCAGAAAGGTTAGGCTGCAAGTCTTGAGTTCTACCTACTTTTGGGACAGTATTTTAATTTCAGTGTCTTAATCAGTACTTCTGATCAGTAGATCTCTAAACCTTAGGGTACAGAAAGGGGAAGTTCCTTGCACAAAGCTGACCAGTTAGGAAATTTGGGAACAGGATCCCAAATTTCTTACTGCTGTGTCTGATGTTCTCTCTACAGTACAAGATGGGCTGGGTGGGTTGAGAATAAGGATGGTCATAATGTGGGACTTGTTTAACCCTCTACCAGTCCAGCAAAGCAGTTGCAACAAATGACTCGGTATTCAACTTGAAGTAATTTTCTTTCCAGAAATGCGTTGTCAAGAATATGATAGAAAGTAACATTGAACACTTGAAAATTCCATTTACAAGTTTACAGCTATAAAATAACACAATACAGTGTTAAATTCAACTTGTCCAAAATCTGATACAAAAAGGTTTCACAGTTAGGTGTGGAAAACTTCTTCATGCGGGAAAACTGAAAAGATTCCTGTAGATTCTATAAAGACAATGCTTAGGTAATGTCATGGAGCTGCTAGACAAACTGCAGTTCATTATAGTGAATACAGCTTTTTTAATGTCCATTTCATTCTAATATGGAACATTTACAAGATTAAACATGCAAATCTGCTGGCTTCTCATGCTGTGTTCATATTCACTGATAGGAGTCATGTAGTGTAGTAGCAAAATTAATCGCTTTTTTGGATTGCTTCTATTTATGGGGAACAAAAAGTTCGAAGAAGATGAAGTGTTAAAATTACACTGACCCGTACTAATAGTTTTGAAGACTTTTGTCCGCAACTTTAATGTTACAGCTGAAATATTTTTCTAGATGATGAAGTGCTTTTTATTACCTTAAAAATAGATTTCTTAAGTTAATGCTTATCACTGGTACATTTTGGATCTTGTCATTAGCCTTGTTTTGTTTGAGTAGTAGTGGATAATCCCCAGCACAGGCATTTCTTTTGCAGAGATGTGTCATAGTTGTGGGTTTCTGAGACACTGGGACAATTTATCTGAAATATGCTTCAAGTGAAATAGAAACACTGTAGAAGTCTGGTCTCTAGATTTACTTAGTTGGATCTGCCATATAAATCTGAACTCCCAAGAGTAAACTTGGAAAGTGGGTTAATATATTTAAATGATTAATAAAAAATAAAAGTGAAAAAAACCTTTTCACCTTGCTGTGCTACAGAAAGTATTTAACAGATGAAATTATTTGTAATGACAAATATTTACTTTTTGTTATCTGCTGTTTTCTCTGGAATCCTTTGACTGTTTTCCTTAACTTTTTTGTGTAGTAAAGCTGCTTATGCATTCATTCTGCCACAATCCCATCACTCTGCTTTCTCCTTCCATTTCCATCTTCCTAAGAGTATCTACGAGGGAAACTTTGGGTGTGGATACTTAAAAGAGAGGAGAGCATCGGGACTAGTCTTTTGTGAAAACACTACCTCACTCTATAGAGCACTATTTGTGAGTTCTCTGGTATTATTTGTATTGTACCTTTTACCTGCCAGAGTGTGGATTAGTGCTACTAAAGCCACTCACTCTAGTGGAATGAGAGCATGCAATTTGTTTTGCTGCATGGTTTCAACAAGCGTGCATTGTTTTTGTGCTATTTTTATTGCATTTTAAAGGCTACTTAAATTTCATTGATCAGCATATCATTGGGTAAGTACTTAAGTTTTTGTGATAAAAACCCAAGATAAGTTTGTTGTAAAAGCTCTTACATTTAACTTAAATTGCTGATTCATTGAGAAATAAAATGCCTACTGTACTAGCACTCTGTGTGCTGGTGAATTGTTGGCTTTTATTGCAAAGAAATGAAACTAGTAAATATTACAACCAACATCCCTGTAGTTTCTTTAAAAGGTGATGCACTCAATGTTTGTAAGAACTTGCAACCTCTCCACACTGGTTCAAGTATTGCTTTAAAAATAAGTGTGGTTCTTTGTGGTCCCCAAACTATAAATTCCCTTGTAAATTCTGTTTCACTCCATGATGCTCTTTGTTTTGCAAATTCCCAAGCTCCTTTTCTTTTTTTTTCAAATTAGTCTGTAGTCAGGAAAATCCAGGCTAGGGAGAACCACTAATTAATATTTTTCAGTTGAATTTAATGTTACAAAATTCAAAGATACAAAGTTACATGATACAAGACTAATGAGCCTCCGAATATCTTACACTTAAATCTGTAAACACAACCTTTGTATCCTCAGAAAGAATGAGAATCTGTTCAGAATAATAACTCTTTTGCCACAGAGAGGTGGGTATGCCCTTGTAGATTGTGCAGATAAATGTGATGCTGGCTGGCTACTTTTGGCTCATATCATAAACCTTGATTTTAAAAAACTCCGTTCCCCCTGCGTTGCCCCAGATCCCAACAAAACCCTTTTCTATGGTCCTTTCAGTTAGTTTCTGAGTAGAAGTTCATTTTAAAGTATCAAAAAAGTTACATCCATTACCAAGTGTCCTTAAAATTTAATGCATAAGATATGCAGTTCATAAGCTATGATTCAGTTATCTAATATTTAGACATTGGACAAAACTTTCCAAATCCTCGAAGTAGTTTCTGAGTCAGAGTGGAACGGCAAGCATTTTAACATAGCCAGGTCTGGATTTCCTTCAGCAGCAGTGTTAACTGCCTTGTTCTGCGGTTGCATGGGTGCTAGTCTTGCAGCAAGCAAGAGACCGATATTTATGGCTGGAGGCCAGGAGAGAGGAGAGGACTGTAGTAGCACAGAGATAATAATAGCTTCAGCAGTCATAAAACTGCATCTTGTTTTCAGAGCATCTTTAAACATGAGGTATTATGCAAACATTCATACCTGCAAATTCAGGTACCCAATTGACATGTAATATGAGTTACTTGAGGCGGGCGGGAATGCTAAAAAGGGGGCTAACTGTCTAGAGGGAGAGGAAAATCCAGTGCCCTGAGTGCTCTCTGATCCTTTCTAGACAGCTTTATTGACTGTTGGGAACCTAGATTCGTAGCACCTAATTCAGACATTTACCCATCTAAAGCTGATTTATCTGAAGTAAAGGAGTATGAATAGTGTTGTTCATATAATTTCCGAAAGTGAGTAACACTAGTTTTATGATATGTTATTATTAGTTCTAACAATTTTTCTTTGGTGTCTATATAGCATATAAATTATCCATATTTTAAATTGGCTCTTACAGATCAGTGACTGTCTGCTGGTTATCAACTGAGGATGTACTCACAGGTTTAGAGACTTCTAAAGCCCCATTTTAACCCCAAGCAAGACTTAGTGAGTCAACAGAAGTAACGAGTTGTACTCCAGAGCATATTGAATTAGGATCTGGCTTAATAAGAAAACAGCTTGTTAGTTGCAGTGTGATTTGTGGGTTTGTTATTAGGATTTACTGCAAATGTCACTGCTGTTACAGAATGCTAGCCTGAAATCTGATTTATTCCACTATGTCAATAATCAGTATAGTTCTTGGATACCCGTCCCCTTTTCCTATAAATGTGGAGACACTCAGAACCATAGCAAGACAATTTTGTCACCCAAGGCAAGACCTTTTCTTGGCTTTTGATATTGAATACTCCCTTTTCTTCTCCTAGTCTCCTCCCACCCAGCCTTTCAGCCACCATCCTCATGGACTTGCAGCTCCTTCCCTTGAAACCTGAAGTCTGGCTTAAACATATTTTCCCCAGCTGATGTCCCTCTTGGCCTATCCTTGCTATGATTCCAGAGGAATTGAGACATGTTCAATATCCAGGAATCATTGGTTGCCTGCCTTTATAATTGATCACATAGGTTTGTTTTTGATTTTTAAAATTGTTTGAAATAATACAGGGGGGAAAAAAGATGTGTACTGAATGTGCAGGTGCAAGTGTCAAGGAAAGATGGCCAGTAAGTTGAGGGGCAGTTGAGGATTCAAAATGAGCTTGGTATGATCTTGAAAAATAAGGTGCCTCTCTGTAGATGACAGTGGTTGCACCCATACAAATACAGGATGGAAGTAGTTGTCTGATAGATACCTCTACAGAAACAGATCTGTAGTTGTGCTGTATCATGCCGTTATGAAGGACAAACACCATACTGTATATAGAAAAAGAAGTGTAGCCTGTAAGATGTATGGACTAATCCTTCTGTTCTACTTAGCCATTACTAAGGCCCTGATTTTGGATGCAGCAGTTCAAGATCTGGAGGACAGCAGTGAGGATATGAGAAAGCCAGTAAATGTGACTAGCAGAGGAAGAGCAACTGGGATTAGTTTAGCCTTAGGATGTAAAGATGGGGATGGAAATGGTACAAGGCTGCTGCAGACAAAGTGACTTTTTCATGTTTGTCAGAAAGCAAGGAACACTGCTTAAATTCCAGCAAGGAACACACCTGTTGGGCATTAAAAGTTTCTCTAATTAAAAGGATAGTTAAGCATTAGGATTGATATGTCTAGGGTTATTGTGCAGTCTCCGTCTTTGAAGGTCTTTACAATAGCAAGTCCCTAACGTATCAGATAAATAGCTGTGGAAGATTCCTTAATTTTATGAAAAAATAATGATTTAAAAAATGCCACAAAACCAGCCAAACTTTATTTCTGGTTTTCTCCAGTTTTATCATAATGTATGTTCATTCTGAAGTAGAAATTTTAAAGCTGAATGCCAGGAATCTCATCATATATATAGGCCAACTTTAGGATATGACATTCCAAAAGAAATCGTAAAAAAGTATTTCTGCACAAAGGTTAAATCTTTCTTCAAATTTTAGTCACTTTTGGATTTGAATTTCAGGAAGGCATTTCTTTTGGCAGAGTATTAATAATATTGGATCCTGTTCATAAACCAGGATGTTTAAAAAGGCCACTATGCAATTTTTTTTTTGTTGCCACACACTACAGCTTTTAAAGCAGAATTCTCCCTTGAAACAAAAATTTGTGCTTAAAGAAAAAGCCAGCCATAAGTATACTCACTTGAAATCTGTTTTATTTCAAAATCATATTTCCTGAAATGGCTTCTTACGAGTTGAATGCAAATTTTCTGTAACATTTTTGTACTTTATATGTGTCACTTCAAGAGCAATATTATGCTTAAAATAAAATTTAAAAATTTGATTAATGAAAGTAGTACAGGTTTTGTCCTGCTAATCATTTCGAATTCCTATTGTTAGTGTATTGGCATGTCTTCATTCAACTGAGTAAAGTAGTAGACCTTCATTCCAGTTACTGTGCAGGGTTTGTGTCATTCATCTGCCGAAGAGGCTCAAATGACTTAGATTTTTATAATACTCTTAAGTCCTATCAATAGTTTTAGCGTAGTAGTTTCTCCCATAAAAGGACTCCTTCACATAATTACTTGACTTATCATCAGAGAAGCTTCTATGTTGTGAAAATATGCTTAACCAAATTTTAAAAAGCTTCATTCCGAAGGCAGTCCATAGGATATCAAGCATTCAATAAATCTGTTTTGTGAAGTTTCTTTGTTACGGTAAAAAAACCTGGTAAGGGAAATATAAGTGGACTGAAATTGAGTATATTAATTTTAAAGCAGAATACAAACATTCAGAAATGACGGGACGGGGGGAAGTTTTGTCAGACTGTTGTTTTTTGGTTCCTTCATTGTTTTGTTTGTAAGACTTTTGGGGATTTTTTTAGGTTGAGTTTTTTCCCCCGCTTTGTCCTATGTTGTCGTGTCATAATTAATTAACCTAGTGAAATTGCTTCATTGCATGATTTATTAACCCTTCCTATGTTCATTCTCTCCTGACTTTAAAAGCATAATCCATTAGAATTTAACCCTGATGGCTTGAAGAAGGCTGCTGTTCAGAAAGCCCTAAAGGTAAAACTAATACAGTTGTCCATTTAAGGTCACCCAAGTAATTGGAAATGCAGAAATGCCTGCAACGCTTCTCTTCCACCAGTGGGTGGAATTTCTATTGCCAGATAGATATTTAGTGCAATTCTGTTTTACTTAAATTTCGTTTCAAGAAGCAGTCAAGACATTGGTGAAATACTGTGATCTATGGTAATTAGAATTTTAGATCAGCTGAGTGGAGTATAAACTTCTTTAGAAGACTGAGAAAAAAACCAGTCCTGAGAACTAATTTGAAGTAGTAACTAAAGAACAAAGCTGACATGAAAGCTAAAACATCTTTTTCATAACGAGTGATACTTCGTTGGTCAACTCTGAATGACTAACCAATAAAATCAATCTCTGACATGTTTTGAAATAATCTTTTTTCTGCTAGAAGTTTTTAGAAGGCTTTGCATCTTTTATATGAATGCTAAATAAATTTAGCCCACCTTTTTGCTATGGAAGGCGTAGAGTTGATGCTGTGGAAGGCATAACCCAAGTGCTCAGCTGGAGGAGCTTGGACAAGTGGCAGTCTCTAGTAGACTGCCAACAGCAAATCTGTCAGTGGCAGGTGTTTGAGGTGCATTATAGGTGTGGGTACAGATTGCTGCCTATTTAGCATGAATTAAAATTACATATATTTACATATCAGCGTAAGTAACAGGGTCTTTTTGTCAACTTCTGTAGTTTCATCATTTTATGAGGAAAAGGGCGTTTCAGGCACCTTTTTATGGACAAAGAGAAAATGAAAGAGATTTCGCCTACCATTTTTAAACACTGTCAGCTGGAGTGTAATCTGACTTTCTTTCTGTTCCTTAAACCTTTGTATTCTGTTGTCTCTGGGAGCTAAATATTTTTTAGTAGAAACCATGAAAAAAGAAACGCGGCATTCATCCAAGAAAGGAGTGCTTTCTCAACAGCTTTTTTTTTCTAAAGGAAAGTATGGTTATAAGCAGTGTGTCACATTAAAGTCAAGTAACATTAATGGAAGTATGATTTCCAAAATGTAAGTTCAGATCCAAAAATATCTAAAATACGCATGTTTTTAAAATATAGAATATTTTAATCAGTTGTAATTGTGACCTTACATGCATTAAGTAGATTTTAACTAACTTTCTGTTTACATACCTGATCTGTACATGGTAGAATTCAAAGTGTATTATTAGCCATGTATACTGTATTTTCTAGGCCTTTTATACGCATTAACGCCTGCTTGAGATAATTAACTTTCATGTCTAACTTTTCTTTCTGACTTAAATTTTTGTAAGGTTAATTTAAAATTTATGAAAGAAACATGTAGGTGGGAATATTCCTTTGTGTATATAATTTGTTTCTAAACTGATGTTTATTTTCATAGTTTGATGTAATGCTATACACCTGGTGGGCAAGGCTCAGATATGGCAGATGGCCGATTCTTTAATAAGAAGTGTTTGGTAAACTGTAGAAATACATATCGGGTACATTATGGTGCTTCTTCTTTTTCTCCAAACTGAAAACGAGAGAATCAATGTTCTGATATTACATCAAATTTAATAATACTACTGCAATGTAAATAAAGTAAGCTTCATGAGTTTGTTCTTTCTCCATATCTCCCATCTGCATGCAATATTCATTTTGCAGTGTTAACTATGCTTTATTAGCTTTGGGGGTTGTAATGCTCATTGAAGGATAAGAATTGCACCTGACTGATTTAATTCAAAGAAATCAGAAAGGAGTCTAGAACTCCTGCTTATTTGTAGGGTTTTGCTTCAGCGTATTTAGGGTAGTTGGGTGCCTTCGTGTTAGTGTGTTCACAAGTTAGTAGCCAGTCTGCCATTCAAGCCTGTTGAGCAAAATACTGTAAATAATAGATAAGCAGATAGAAGAAAGCATATGATTTGTATTTGTAAGATGCAAACGTTTAAGTTTCAGAGGAGAGAGATTTTGCTTTATTCTGAAGGCAAAGCTTTTGCTTTTTCTTTACCAGTCAGGAAAGAAAATAAACAGTAATCCCAACCCACTTGTTTTGCTGTCAGTTGGACACAAGGCACAGGAAAGTAAGGTAAGTTCCTACTTGCCTCTGTCTACAAACATTTGGTGGCTCTGTGTGCTTGGCATTGGCTATCAAGCCATTGACTGTATCCACTGCACTAAACATTACCCCAGAACCGAAACTGCCAACAAGAAGCCAAGGATTGAACGGGTGCTTACTCAGTTTAAACTGTCTGTGAGATTAACTCTCTCTCTGTCTAGAGACCAGATCTTTAGCTATTTGTAGATGTACTTCCACAGTAGGTTCTAATCTGCAGCTGGGATTCCTACAGTAGTGATTGTATAAATAACAGTGTGGGCAAACAGCAGGCTTCAAAATGCTGATCAAGATTTGAAAGTTCTCAGAATCACAGAGAAGCACAGAGAAATGCCCAGGTCAGAAGAGCCCACTGAAGATCATCTGCTTGAACCTTCTGTTTAAAGTAGGACCTTAGATTAGCCAACACGCTGTGTAGCTCCAAGGAGCTTGTAGTTTAGCCAGGCTACTTTGTTGTTAACGTCTGTTGCTTTTTCTGTTTTGAGGTGTGGGCCACTTTTGTTTTTTGAGAAGGCTGTCCTCTAGCGCTTCTGAGCAACTTTGCCCTCCAAGGCAGACACACCTGGAATTCCTTCCAACAGTTTTAGAGCAAGTTGAAATCTGCTTTTCTGAAGTCCAAGGCTTCTGTTCTGCTATTCATTTTCCTCATGCCCCTTAGGATCTTAAGCTCTGTGATCTTACAGTCACTGTAGGCAAGGCTGCTTTGCTAGTCACATCTGCAAACCGGTATTCCTCGTTGTATGTAATAGATTCAGAAGAACACCACTCCGAGTCAACACATCCAGTGGTTGAGAACAACCGTAACACAGCAGTATGTGTTTTCGTAGCACGAACTTTTAAATTGCTTATGCACTGCTGTGCTGCTTCCTTAGAAAACATTAGAGTAGTTGAAGCTCTTGGTGAGAACCTGGTTCTGCAGACCTGAGACAGCTTTGAGTGATCTGAAGAAGGTGTCAGCCTTTTTTCCTAATCGAATAGTCTGTAACAGATACCTGTCATGAGGTCGATTGTGATGGTGATCCCTCTGATTTTGACACAGGGCATTCAAGATACCTGTTGTCTTGTCCATAACTTACATCTGTGCACTCAAAGATCTCTTTAAAATAAAATGGCCACAGAGAAGTGATACCTAGATAGGTAGATATATGCAATATGGGTGTGTATTGTTTGTTTGTTTGTTTTTAAAGTGAGAGTGTCAGTGAGCCAAAAGGGGAGGACATCTAATTTGACGACTTTATATCTTGTCAAGAATTGTCACAAAGCCTAAACCAGATCTTATATACAGTCTTAATATTGATACTTATTAGAGAATGGAGATAGAAATTCAAGTCCTTTGTTCCTGGATATGGCTTTTTTTATGAGTGCTTTTTTCTCTCTTTGCCCCCTCCCTTTCCTCTCCTATCTCCCCTCTCGCCCCCAGTTAATGGGTTGCTGAAAGTAGTGAGATTTGGCAGTGAAATCTTCCACTTGGCTACTTGGAGGTTAGAAGGAAAAATGCTCGTTTCTAGGAGTTTCATTGAGTTAGTTCAGCCCTTACAGGGAAAGTATGAGAAGAGAGAGTATGTGCCAGTCTGAAGACCTTGTACTTGTTCATAGACTGGTGTGAAGTAAAGGTTCTTTAGCAGGCATTTTACCTTACATGCAGCAACTTCAATGCAAAACTTCAATGCAAAACATGTCCTCTGTATAATTTTGTATGTGATATTATGTATGCCTTGGTTAGATCCCACTTGGCCTTTGTTTAAATATGTCAAGTTTCAGACATTAATTTTGCAAAGCCAAAATGAAAAATGTTGTTGACTCTTGACACCAGCTTTATTAGACAAAAATGTTTTATAATTTGTATGTTTCCTGTTCTCTAACTTTAGATTCGGTACAAGACCAATGAACCAGTGTGGGAGGAAAACTTTACTTTCTTTGTACACAATCCCAAAAGACAAGATCTTGAAGTAGAGGTATGTTGTCTCACTCTTTTTAGATACCTTTCTTTTTTAAGACATTTCAGTAGTAACATTCAAACATTACAGGCTGTCATGAAATGAGACTGAATATATTGTGAAGACATATATTGTGAATATATTGTGAACACCATTAAAATTGTACTTTAAGTGGTTTTTAAGACCAGGCTATGAAATGCTTATTTGCGTTTACTACTAAAAGGAAGAAAGACTGTAACCAGTCTCTCACTAGATGAGCACATTGAAAAAAAAAAAAAAAGAAGGGGGGGGGGGGGGAGAAAAAGTAGATGTTGATACGTGTTTTGAAACTTAAGTCTGAAGTGCTAGCAGAAGTTGCTATTATGTGTGGCTGATCTGTTTCCTTGCTCATCCCAAGGAAGTCTTTGCTTTATCCACATGCTGTATCCCTTTACACTGCTGACATGTCATTTGCATCGTTCAAAGAGACTGAAGGGTGAATGAGGACTGTTCTAGTTACTGTTCCTTTAACAGTTGTGGGAATTCGTTTTCACACAGACTGTTTGGAAATCATGTAGTTATTTGATCAATGGTCAGGTAGATGTAGACATGATGGTTAGTGTTCTGTCTTGCTTTTGCTGTAGAAGATGGGGATGAAGAAACTAGACATTGAGTGTATTTGCTACTTCCTTCTTCAACGTAAAGTAATCTTATGATTAGAGAAATTTGGTTTAAGAACAGACTACATTTGTTATTATTTGGATTTTTTTTTTTTTAAATGAAGCTGTCATTTCCTTTTCTTTGTGTGAATTCTTACAAAGCAGATGATGCACAATAACTTTGCTTCTGTGTTCCTTCAGGTGAAGGATGAACAGCACCAGTGTTCTCTGGGGAACTTCAAGCTGCCTCTAAGCCAGTTGCTGGAGAGTGAAGATTTAACTATGCATCAGCGGTTCCATCTGAGCAACTCTGGTCCAAACAGCACTATAAACATGAAGATTGCACTCAGGGTATGCTAAAACTTTTCCCATTGTAAATACCTGAAAGCATGTTTAAGACTATTGTGACTTCTGGTCTTCTAGCGTTATGAGGATAGTACGTTTCCTTGGGTGTCACAATGGCAGGTGTCCTTAGTTGTGGCAGTGCTAATAACTACACAAAGATAACCTCTAATTTAAATACATTCTATTTCAAAACCAGAAAATTCTCCAAACAAACAGTAATCAGCTGCATTAATGAAGAATGAGGTTCCCTGTGGGTTTAGGTTCGGAAATCATGTTTGGAATCTGAATTCCTTCAAGTCTCTAGTGACTCACTAGGCTACAGATCAGTGAAATCACCTTTATCTCATAGAAATGGAACTGAGGTCATGGTGGTTTAGAAAGAATAACATTTGTAGGGGAAGGAAGTACCTTCATAATTCTAGAACTTTCAAGCACACTGGAGTTTTGAAAGTGAAACTTGCATACTTAAAAGTTGGTTTGTTTTTTTCCCCAGCTAAACTATTTGGTTTAACAAGGTAGTGTATCTCTTTGCAAACACTGTCAAACTTTTGTGAACTTCTGTTATTTGTTCTTTTCTAAAGCACTTTCTTGCTTACTTGTCATTAATAAATGAAAATAACCTATAAAAGAGGAAGTAAGGACTATGAGTGAGGAGAACTTGTGATATAGGATTAAATTTTAAAAGACGAGAAGAAAAAAATATAGAATAGCATTCTATGTGGCTAGAGCTGCAAAGTGAATAGCACTTGCACCAGAAGTGTGTACGGTATGGGAAGGGAGTATTGAGGAGAATAATTCTAAATGAATGGAAAATTTCACATTGTTTCATAGTTACTGCAGTTGCCAAAAAGATGTGTTTTGCTGTGCAAAAGGTTTCCTATTGAAGAGTGAAGGAGTATAAGCATGAATATTTTTGGTCCTGCATTAGTGTCCAAACTTAACAACTTGTCACCAGTCGGTACTCTTGCAGAAACAAATTTGTTCGTGTTTTTTATACTGTATTTTTACTGTACCTAGGTCCTTTGTCTTGAGAAGCAAGCAAGATCTCCAGATCATCAACACTCAGCCCAAGTAAAAAGGCCGTCTCTTTCCAAAGATGCAAGAAAATCGTCTTTCAAGCCTCAGGTTCCTGTCTCAACGCCACCTGATTCAAACAAACCTGTTCCACCTTCCCCAGTGACTGATAGCGATAAAAAGGCTGATACAGCAGAAAAAAGTCAGCCTCCCAATGCCAGCCCTCAGTGGCCAACAGATCTCAGCCGAAGTTCCTCCAGCCTTCAAGCCTCTAACTTCTCTTATTCTCCCAGCCACCTCTCGGTCAAAGAACCCACTCCTAGCATAGCCTCAGACATATCTCTGCCTATCGCCACGCAGGAGCTGCGGCACAGACTACGACAGCTTGAAAAGTACGGTGTTAATTTATTGATTTTTTTATACATCTAAGTTGATTTAGAAAAAATGTCATCAGTG